TGGTTATGGCTGGTTGTTTTGTTAGTAGGTTAATCATTGTAACATCATTGATAATTTAACATTAAAAATAATTTCCCACCCTATGTATAATTTTGAGGCTTGTTGAGGTTTGTGAGTGCTCTGGTTGAGATAGAGACCTGGGATGTGCAACCGGCCCAGATTGAGTTTAGGGAGGACACCATACAGCAATGTCCTGATGGTTTTATTTCTTGAGGTAAATGATGAAAGGTGGCAAAGCCATTCCCTCAGCAGTGATTGCAGCCACATGAGAAGAAGACAGGTTGCTTTCATTGTGTGAAACAAAAGCCAGGACTGATGACAGAGCTATGTCCTGGGTGCTGGGTAGGGAAGTGTCTTCTGCCAGTCTGTATCCCAGTGTTACATCACCTAAACATTAGAAAAAGCAGTGACTCACCAGGCTCTCTGGGAGAGCTGAGTAAAACCTTCATTTAAAGCCAGACTTACATGTTTTTTTTCTGGCTTTCATGCTAGAACTTTTAATTGTCTTCTTAATTCCTAGCCATGTCCTTGATTTTAATTAATTTTGTATAAAGCAAAATGGGTCTTTGAGAGTACAGAGCTCACTTTCTCTTATTGATTTCTTTGCTGTTTGACTCACTTTTTACTTAAAGTTCTATTTTTTTTGGGGGGGGGTACTGGAAATTGAACTCAGGACGTTGTGCTTGCCGGGCAGGCACAGTGCCACTGAGCTAAATCTCTGGCCCCTACCTAAAGGTCTAGAAAAGACCCCAAAGTGGAAGACCTAGTAACACTTTTTTTCCTTCAGCTGTATTTCAAAGGCAAACAAATTTCTCCTCCTGTGTGAATCTATTTTGGAGACCTGGTCAGTAGTGCAGGTCTGTTTTGAGGACTGTGCTCACTGACAGTGAAGGATAACTCTCTCAAGAGTGAGTTCAGCCGGCCATGGTGGCGCATGCCTGTAATCCCAGCACTCGGGAGGCTGAGGCAGGAGGATCACTGTTAGTTTGAGACCAGCCTGGGCTACATAGTGAGTTCCAGGTCAGCCTCAAATATATAGTGAGACCCTGTCTCAAACAAACAAACAAACAAACAAAAAGAAGAGTGATTTCAGAGTGGGATTCATTTTACATGTTGACAAGAGATGAAAATACATTGTTCTTTTTCCAGATTTCCTCTGTTAACTTTTCTTTTGAGGGTACCGAGGATCCAACTCGGGTCCTTGCACTTGAGAGGAAGGTGGTGGAACCACTGAGCTAAATCTCAAGCCCTCCTCTCTTAAGTCTGGAATACGAAACTATATATAGAAGGACTAGTAACTGTATAAAAAGTGAATTTTATTCAGTTAAACATTTATTGAGCACCTAATAGGTGTAGTCTCGATCCTACTCATTGAGACCAAGAAGAGTACAGATTGTCTTACATACTGCCTTATGTTCAGTGATATGGATTCTAAGCCCAGTAGGATCCAGTATAAATGGATTTGATTTACCCTTAAAATTGGGGTGATAGAACTGAATGCAAGGAGTGCTGGATGTGTGGAATAAAAGCTATATGTCATCCAGGCCATTCCCTAGCCCCGCGACCGTAGGCAAGCTTCTTAACCTCTCTGACACTCTCCTGAAGTAGCACTAGCAGTGCTGCTGGAGACTGGCCTAAGGAGGTGAGTAGTCCACACAGTGTCCAGGATGGTGTTGAGTGATTGCAACCATATTGTTATTTTAAATTTTTATTTATTCATTTTTATATTTTTCTGGTGCTGGGGTTTGAACCCAGGACTCTGTGTCTGCTAAGCAGGTGCTTTACCACTGAGCTATGCCCCCAGCTCCATCTGTATCATTATTGCTATCACCTGACCCTCAGCATTCATGGGAGGATTCGGGTGAACAAGAGTAAAGTATAACCCAAATAGATGTGAATAGTAGGCAAACAGTTGGGGGAAGTAAATTCAGTCAAAAGATAAGAGTTAGGGAAAATATTAAATGTTTTTTCCCACACCATCAATGGAAAGGAAACTGTCTCATCTTTAAATATATTTTCCTATGTTTCACTCATAGGTAAAGTACTTTGATTACTTGTGTGACCATGCGTTGACATGGTCTACCCTCAGTCCCCTAGGGATGGAAGGAATTCTAAATGTATGCTTAAAGAAGACCTTTTGAAAGAACTGTTTTGGTTCAGCTCAATTACATGGTAGCAGCCTGTCAAAGTATGTGACACGGGCAGACACTGTTTCAGGAATGGGATTATCATAGTAAAGCAAGCATGCTGGCTCTGGTGTGGGTCCCCCAGTAGGTTCTGGAAGAAAACAGGGCTGTCCAGGAAGCTCTCTGCTCCCTCCTGGTCCTTTCTTTTATCAGCCCACCCCTCCTTCTCTTCCCAGATGGTCACCCTAGCTTCACTGCTGAGCATTGGAGTTAACAAATGTTTTAATTTCACTGCTGAGTAGTTCTGCGGAGGGAGAGACAGCAGAGAGGATAATGAGAAGTGCATCAGATGCCGCCTCAGATGAAGGTTTCTCCTCCCGCCAGCTCAAGTGACGGAGCCAGACACACTGTATACCGAGAGTGGTGGGTCTGGAATATTCAGAGAATTGTAGGTGGAAAAAAAGAAAATAAAACCTGTCCTAGGATAGAATGAGATAGCTATGTGCTGCATCAATTAAGACATACAAAAGGAAGGAGAGGGAAAGTAAAGAGGAGGAAACATGTTGATCAAGGACGTTAGACACAAATCGATGGCTGTGTAGCAAATTACTCTAAAATTCAGCAGCTTCAGACATTTATTACTTGCAGTTGTGTGGTAAAGAACCCAAAAGTAGCATGGCTGTGTCCTCAGGCTGCAATTACGTCGGCTGGGCTGCAGCCATTTCCGGCTCAGTGCAGGTAATGTCTCTGCCTTAGCTCACTCCCCTGGCTGTTGGCAGGCCACGGAAGACGCACTTCCAGGCTTACACGCCAACTTTGGACCGGGGACAGCCATTCCTTGCCACAAGGGCCTGTCCCCAGGACATCTCCCAGAGCAGGGCACAGATGGGTGCGTGCACACACGCTTGTGCACACAGACGCAGCAGAAATCCTGTTACCTTCACCCCCAAGGGGCATCATCCCATTGCTTTTGTCATAATCTCTGCCTTAGAAGCAAGCCACGGGCTGACTGTCTAAGGCAAGGGCTTCCTGCTTCAAGGTCCCTACTGCTGTCCGTGGAGGGCATTCTAAGGAGATTTGGGACCAACTCGCAAAAGTAGGACAAGGCAAATTCATTTACCCACGGATGTTAAGCATTCAACTCATGCCTTTATTTCTTGTTTGTTATTTTAAAAATAGAAGACGAGTTACCTTAGGCTTGTGGCAGTTATTTACTCCAATCAAATATTAATGTGGATTATTAAACTGTTTTATCTAAGTTTACTTTTGAAGATGACCAAAACACATAGGAAATCTTTTTTTTAAAGGTTGGTATAAAGACTCCACATATGACTATCACATGAACTTTTCATTTTGGTTACATGATTTTTTTTCAAATTATTGCTAAAACAGAAACAGTAATCTTGCCTTCTAATTGATCTTCTTTCTGTTTGTATGAGATGTTCTGTCAGACCAAAGAAAAGAATCCTCATTTTAAACATTTTACCACTAGGGTGGTTGATATTTTACTCTGGAAGATTCAAGATGGTGAGCATAGTTGGTGGCCCTAAGAGCTCTGCTAATTAACACATACCCAGCAGAAACTGTGTGGCCTTCCATTGAAACAGAGTTTGGGATTAGAGCCCATTTTCAGAGAGGTCTGTGAAATGTGATAAAGCTGAGAAGTTGAGAGCATTTCTTATCCCCACCTCCACCCCCACCTTTTTAAAGCAGAACCCAGGGATTGCACTCTTCACGTTGAGCTACATCCTCAGCCTTTAAATAAATGTTTTTATTTTAAGGCAAAATCTCACTTAAGTTGTCCGGTCTGGGCTTGAAGTTGTGATACTCCTCTGACCTGAGCCTCTCAGAGTGCTGAGGTTACAGTGTGCACCACCACACCTGGCAGAGAACTGCTCGAAAAGGAGAAAAGAGCGAAGGGTTGAGATCAGTCAGATCTCATTTACGGTTATGAATTTGGGAGCAGAACAATAGGGAAGGCTGAAGAGGGTGGTCGGGATTTCATGCTTCAGTGTCGCCAAAGTCAGAGAAGAACTGAGAACTGATTCAGAGGTGGTAATAATGCCAGACCCCACAAAAAAAGTCAAGGGCACCAGGACAGAGGCAGGCTGGTGTGTGGTCAGTGTTGGTAAGGGGAAGAAACTCTGAGGCCCCTTCATATTGGAAGCAGTCACTGAAGTCAGATAATTAATATGCGAATCATATTTCCTTTGACAGCTGGCAACTCCAAGCCAACACATTGTTAGTCTTAATTGTTACAGAATATATCTAAAAGTAATAAGGCTCATGTCTTTCTAAATAGTCTATCATTCATAATGTAAATGACTTAAAGTGATTTTCTCCCCTAACTTGTGAGATTTTAATTGCATTCTCAAATAATAAAATGACAGTTCATTCAATTTGAAATTCAGATATCCTTGCCTAAGAAATACTCAAAATGTCATAAGATTCAGAAAGGTATAATTAGGTAAAAAGTATGTTAAGTATGTTAAAAATGCACTGAACACCTACTGTGTGCCAGGCTCTGCTGGCTGCTGAGATACAGAGTTCTAGAAAGCATAATCCCTGGCTTCAGGAAGTCTATTAGGAGAAAAAGATAAAAGCTTACAGTATAGTGTGACAAATGTAAAACAGCCTTTGATAAAGAGAAGGTGGGGCTAGGTTGGAGAAGGCCTCCCAGCAGGGTATCCCCTGAATGAGGTGGATTGTGAATCGAAGTCCTCCTGGGGTTGAGCTGGGAGCCCATGGCACTGGGGTTGCTACAACCCCTGCTGGGGAAGCACGTACAGAGGGTGAGGGATCAGCTGTGGGGGCCTTGCTTGCCAGATGTGGTTGTTGACTGGCTCATCTCTTTCTGGATACTTAATTTCACAGATTGTAATGGAATGTCTTGAGGGTAAAGGAGGATGTGCAGTATTCCAGAGAATCTTGGAGAAAGTAAGAGCCGAGAGCCTGGATGTGCAGACTGTCGTGTCCCTGTTGAGGCTGTACCAGGACTCTAATCCTTCAGTGAAAGCTGCACTGTCAGACCCACAGCCAGAAGATGCAGCCCCAGTGCATCCAAAAGGTAGGAGGGAGTCCTCTCCTCCTGAGTGACTTGAGATTTAAGGTTGGTTTCAATGGTTCTGGGAATGTAGCTCAGTGGTAGAGTGCCTGCCTAGCATACACAAGGCCCTGGGGTCTATCGCCATTGCTGCACCCTCTCTTTCCCAAAAAATTTGGTTCCAGTGATACGTACCTTCAGTGGCTTAGTTATTAAATGTTCTCCACAGAAGTTCAAATGTCATCCCAGAAACTATGTTAAATATATACAAGCTAAACATAAGCCTCCATTTCTATCCCCTGCTTAACTAGGCTGATATCTTGAATTGGAAAATGCCATCACTGTCCCCTGCCTTTCAAAAAGCCGCATATCCAAAGCAGTGCCTTGGGTGCCCAAGGTGAGCTGGTTCGCTGACAGCTCTTAAGAGGCTGGAGTTGCTCTGATTTGGGTTAGGTACAAAGCAGTGGCCATGCCAACCAGAAGTTAACGTATGGCTAGCTCTGAAGCTTTGTGTTTCGACAGATAAATGAAGCATTTTTCCTTTCATAGAGTTTAAACAGAATAATAAAGTATTTTCCTCTCTAAAAGTGATTCTGCATTCAGGTGCACAGAATAAGCTGAGAATCACTTTACTATTCTGTTAGATCTCTCTTGACAAACCATGCTGTCATTTTCTTCAAATTGACTAGCTTTTCTTGTGTGTCTCTAATTCTTTCTCCCCCAGGGAGCACAGGGGAGGGAAAGACCTTGTCTGTTCTGTTACTGGAACACAAAGAGGACCTGATACAGTGTGTAACACAGCTGAGACCTATTACGGAGTTCCTGGAAACAGCCAAGGAGGAATTCCTGCCTGGCACTGAGAAAAGGGTAACTGTGTCAAGTATCTCCTCCCTCCTCAGGATTGATGTATCAGTTTTTTTACAGAAACCTCCTCTCTGCCACATAGCACTTTTTAGCTTGCAGGATTTTTATACCTACTGCATAGTAATCACCACCAAGTTCAGATTCTTATTTCATGCCCCTTGTATTTGTGCAGTATTTCTGAGGGCTGTGCACCTTGTCGTCAGTGTACTGTGAAGTCAGTGTTTGGAAGGATAGATGGGTGTAGATATATGATATTCCTGCTCAGAGTTTTTATTATAAACACTTGCCAAGAGTTAAATGTTTAGGCACATTTGTAATTATTGTGACAGTTTTTCTCTTTATAGAAATGATACATGGTTAATATGAGAAAATATGGGAAACAAGCAAAAAGAAAAAAATCAAATCTCAGCACTTAGACTACTGCTGTTGTTTTAGAGCACGTTCCTCCTACTCTTTGTTTGACTCATCTTGGGATGAACTTACACAGAACATAGTTTTCTAGTTTGGATTTTACATTTCAATGTGTCAGTACATTTCAGTACCTAGAATATGGGATTTTGGTAGCTGTATTCTAATGGATGTATCATAATGCATTAATTCTTTATTGTAGGGCATTCGTGTCCAGTTTTTGGCTACTACAAAAGATACGTCAGAGGACTTTCTTAAAGGCAAATTTTTACCTAATTCCCAAATTATTTCCTTAGAATAATTTTTAAGCAGCGGAACTTTGGAAGAGAGAGTACGAAAATGTTCACGTGTGTGACACATATCACCAAATTGCCCTTCAGGGAGGTTTACTTCCCCACCAGCTTGCTACCGAAATGCTCGTAAAGCTGCTAGCATGACTTCTCAAGGCCACTAGTAACTATATTTGTTGGTGTTATTGATTTCAACTTTGTGCTCCAAATATTTTTATATTTGGAAGGAAGGAACAGGGAAGAGGACTTTTGTAGCATCTGCTCTTAAAGCGATGGGAAGTGACTTAAACGTGGAGGGAAGAAAATGTTCGGAAATCACTGGTGTAACAGCTGAGCGCTGGATTCGTGGCGAGCACTGATCTTTTATTAAAAATAGCTAAGTGAGCACAACTTCTGATTTAAAATTTTCTAAGTTTCTTGGACTTCTTAGAGAAAGATAATATACCCAAAAGAGTAAACAACTGTTTTTCCTGAGAGTTCAGATTAAGTCTAATTTCAGGCCTTCTAAGTGAATTACTTAGAGTGCTAGAAGTACCTGATTCCCTGTTCAGTGCTTTTGTCCTATTTCTCATTCAGACCTTCTCCTTATTAGCTAGATTGAATGTGTCTTTTGAGCTGTTTCATTATCTTAGTAAAACAGCACTTAGAGCCAGGTTCGGCCTCATTCTCTGCAGCAAGACCGACCACACTGTCATTTTCTTCTGTCACTTCCAGTCTACCTGATAGTGAAAGCTGAAGCAGAAGAACTTAAATTAATTATAAACCACAGAAACGCTCCCTAACCAGAGCGACGATAAGCTGTTCCTTCTCATGAAAATTGAGGCGCACTGATATGGGGGGGTAGAGGTGAATGTTGATTGAGTAGCCCCAGTGCTTTGATGTCATGCAGAGCGTGAACCAGGCCTTGTAGAACTTTTTTTTAATGACTTTATTCCTCAGCCTTATTTGTAGACAACTTGAGTCTTTCTGAAAGTGGTCAATAGGAATGTTCTCAGGACATAAAAAGAGTAATTACTGTCACTGCCATTTGTTTATTGCTTACTGTGTCCAAGCCGCAGACCTTTTAAACACTACTGAATTTTACCCTTCCAGAAGCTGTACGCAGTAAGGAATTTTACCCTCATTTTAAACTAAAGAAATAGACGCTCAGGGAGGCTAAGCAGCTCACCCAAAGGCACTGCTGGAGCCAATACTGAGACCCAGGCTTCTGAGGAAACACATTCTCTTCGCTGTGCATATTGTTCCCCAGTGACATGAATAACATACATAGTAGTTCCTTTTTTTGTTTTGTTTTGTTTTTTTTGTTTTTTTGAGACAGGGTCTCACTATGTAGTTGAGACTGACCTGGAACTCACTGTGTAACCCAGGCTGGTCTTGAACTCACAGCGATCCTCCTGCCTCAGCCTCCTGAGTACAGGGATTACAGGCGTGCACCACCATGCCCGGCCCATAGTAGTTTCTTAAAGAGCACATATGTCCTAGGAGTTCTGCTAGGCTCTATACATAGCTCCTTCCCTTCCTTCCCTTCCTTCCGCCTCCCCGCTTCCCTC